AGACCCGTTGTTGTGCTGACTAGATGCATTGAGGATGTTGAGAATGTGGTGCCTGTGGAGTCCATGCCGCCACCGCCAGCCCCTCCTGCCAAAAAATCCTCGAGAAGAGGGAGTGTTACTGCTCGTAAACCCTCGGAAAAAGTGCGTTATTTCGTGAATGATGAAAATTACAAAGACAGCAAATTTATAGGGGTTGCGGATGAACAATTGATTACTTTAATTAAATCGGTGATGTCTTTCCATAACCGCTTATCCTTTTATAGATTAATAAGTATGCTTCTCGATTTATTATTATTCCTGATTTGTTACGTGTGCTTCTGTTGTTTATAGACAGGGAATAAAAGCAAGGTTGGTGTGTCAATTTAGCATAAGCCTGCACTTTTTCTTAGTTGCATTTTGCATTTTCAGTCGCAGGTTCTTACTTTCCGTTTGTATACATCCCAAGATTCTTTTTTGTCTTCAGCAATTAACAATCCCTTCGCATTGGCTCTCGGTTGTATAGTTGCAAGTATTTTTTACTCAATTTTTAGAATTTCATTTCACCATTCCTCATGAACTGAGAGCGTTGATGTTTATACAATGATATTACAGGTTTTTAACCAAATATACCTTTATGGATAGTTATTATTGGAATCGGCTTTTACTTTGAAAAGGTGTATTCAGGCATCCACTATGAAGCCACACGTTATTAACTGGGAGAATCACTCTTATGCAAAAATGGTTGTCTCGTCCAACCCTAAGGAAGCCAAGAAATTTTTGTCTGTTTAGGTCGGTTGACATAGTTTAGATGGCTAACTACACCTACCAATTATATACTTCCTCTTTTTGCTCACTCATTTTTATGAATTTTTACATTCAGAACCAGTGCTTCATTGAATTCGTTTTCCAATCAAAATCGTCTATCAAATTTGCTCCGTCCTATAAATCTCGGCTTTATTATCGGATTTCGTCGTATTTTTAGGTTGTGAATGTTAGGCGATTAGGTTTCCTCAATGCTAGGTCTTAGTGCATGAAGGCCTTGTCCTGCCATTCAGTTTCATTCCTTATCGACACGTTTTGTACATCTAAATTACTGGAAACGGACGATTGTTGCATTTACTTTATAATTAATTCTTTAGAATTCTGAAAGTTAAGTCGCTTATAAAGACGAGTGGCCATTTGTTAATTACTTTTTAACGGTGATTCATAGCATTAGCTTGGTTAATTGGCAAATGTTCTAGTTTTCCTGTTATCAAATCTAGCATTAGCACCCTCTTTTATCTTACAGTCTGCAAAGAAATCAGCAGGGGCAACACCAGAATCGAAGGTAGAAACAAGAGCAAAGGCACCTCTAGCCTCGCCGGAGCAGTCGGGAATGGCTGAGACTTTGGCCGTTTCTCTTCCCATACCCGCTTCACCACTGAAACGGGGCACCTCTGCCGACAGCAGCGACGGCGGAGACAGTGAAGCTCGTAGGTCCGCCTCCAGGTGCAGAGGCAAAGGTAGCAGTGTTGGAGGCGGTGGAGAAGTCGAGCTAAGGCTGAACAGCAAGGGAGAGAGCGTCCTACACCGCGCGGCCATTAAGAACAACGTGTCAGAGTTGAAGCGCCTCCTGACCGCTGGACTCTCGCCCAATGCACGCGATCACGCTGGCTGGACACCGCTGCACGAGGCTGCGCTGCGTGGACATGCCGAAGTCTGTTTTCCTTTGTTTCATCTCCAGACGAGAATTTTAGTTATGATCGATTGCCTTCTAAATAGAGG